CATGGGTACTGGCCGACTGAAGATATATTTCTTGAAGGTTGGCATATATACTGCATAATATTCATCGGTGAAAAAAAATCAATGTTGATTTATTAGGTGGGAAAACATTTTCTAAGACGGCTTAAAGCCCAATTCTAGATAACATATAATATCATTTATATCGTCAATAAAACACATAAAATACAAGAACAAACAAGATAACAAGATAGAAATACAACATTTGAAAAATAAAAGCTTAAAAAGTCATTAAAAAAAAAAGTCGACTGGATTGCTCGAAAGTAAAAACAATTCACTGTCAGGGAGCTCTCCTTGTTAAATCCCGATTAACAAATATATTTTCTGGATCCGGATCTGTTATCATCCGAAAAAACAAAAGGATACCCGCCTCACATTTAGAGTCTTTTTTTTTATTCTAGATATGTTATTTAGCATTTATATCACATAATCCATTTCGATTTTTTTAAATTTTTTATCTTTTAGATTACTTTTAAAACTGGAAATGGGCCTAATATACTGACAAGTCAAAAATATGTCTGGCAAACTAAAGTTGATTTAATAGATAGACCTATGATCGATATGTTCCCAACATTTATGGAAACTGAAGAGAAACTCCGACAGGACGCAGTTTTACCGGTATTTACAAACAAAACTGAAGGAGTTGGCTCGATGGGACACACAGATCCAACAATGAGTAAATTCTTCATTAAAGACGGAAAACCAATATTATTCGGTGAATTCTTTAGCGTCATAGTTGAAGCCCATGACGCAAACGGCCGTCATCGTGTCCAAGGTGGTGACTTTTGGTACCCAGTTGTCTCAAATGGAAATAGATTTGCTACTGCAGGAAAAGTTATCGACTTTAAAAATGGAACTTATGAGATGGTTTTTTTCGCCGGTTGGCACGGAGAAATGACAGTGAACATTAAACTTGTGCACACAAACGAGGCTGTTCGGTTTATCCTACATGAAATATGGCACAAGGGAGGCCGAACAGTATGGGAAGGACAATTCAAAGTCGGAGAAAACATAGAGACTTCGTTATGCAGATTAGAAACAAACGGTATCTGGCAAAATAAATGTGAATACCCGAACCCGCAGGCGCTCGGTGGAAGTTTGGTGCTGCTTTGTGATCGCCCGCCTACTTTGCCGTGCTCAGCATTTTATGCTTTACACGTTAATGAACATTCTACAACAGTCGTTACAATGGTATATTCATCATTAAGAAAAACGCATGACAATTTTTTTACAAGGTGAGTGAAGATATCCACAAATTTGTCCATTTAATATTTTGTGTCCTTTATGTTCCGTCTTTGTTGATCTTCTCGAAAATGAATACAGGTCTCCCTCCAATTAAAGACCACTTTTGAGATCGGGGTTTTGGCGGTCTTTAGAAGATTTTAGAGTTTAATGCTTGTATTTAAAGACTGGCTCTATTTTGTCTTTATTTTCTCCTGAGGGAAATTAAGACATGATATATTAAATATAAAGATGGTTTTTCCAAGGTGTTTTAAAATAGATGTATCAGTAAGTGTTGCTGTTGTAAATCCATATAAAAATTTTTTTTGCTTTCCAAGGTGTTTTCAAATAGATGTATCAGTAAGTGTATGTTGTTGTAAATCCATAAAACACCGGGTAACCAGACACCAAGTCATGTGCTCGTTCTCCCTTGTACTACTAACACTGTCCTGTAGACCTACACAGAGAACATTAACATTTGAGGCATGTTGTGGCGAAATTGTTAAGTTCCGCACAGTCCAGTATTGAGTAAATGAGCTATAAACTATGGGAGCTAAAAAATTGCCTAAAAATCCAAATTTGTTTTTCACTATAGATCAACAGTTTAATGTCTTATTAATCATGTCCCTAAGTATTAGTTCTGGAAGTGGTTAACAAATTGTTTATTTAACGTTATTTTTCATAGTTCATTCTATTAAACAATGTATGCACAAATAACTTTGAAAGGCAATTACTCAAAATCCTGTTTATATTAATACTCTAAGAGTACTGTACTTTCACTTTCCAATAACTTTGGCTTGAAATGTCCAATTTGAATGAATGACCCCTCATTTTAATGATCACATACTCAGGTATCTAAAAATACCAATAACTTGAATTTCAATTTTTGCTACAACTTAGCCATTTTGCCACAACATGCCTCATTTATGCTGTGTATTGCTTTGATGTATGTATTGCTTTGATGTATGTAGTTTATATAACAAAAGCATTCAAAGAAAAAACTCCACTGAAATTATGTATTTTTAAAATAGTGCAGGGAAATGTTTCAACTGAATAACGGTAATAGTCTGTTCTTTGGTGTCCGATTAAAATTCATTTAATGAAAACCAACGCTAAAATTGAGAAATTAAGAAAATAATATATGATACTGTATATTAAATTGTTAAGATGTTTCATTTCAAGTGTTTTAGGATAGATATAAAGTAATTGTTCTGCTGTTTTTGTTTTAATTTTACTTTTCTTGGTACGGTAGCCAGTCATGTTAATTAAAAGGGTCTTTAAATGGAGGGAGAAATGTAATAACATCAAGCTGAATATTGCACTATATTCTACTTTCCACAGCATGATATTTATCTTTTATTTATTGATGTACCATCTTTTTAAAAAGTTTTATGGATAGCATAACTGACGTCATGTTATGTATGCATGATTTTTGTATGACATTTTAGAAATTGTTTCTTTTCAGTAAAAATAATTTCGCACGATTAGAAAATGGACCAATTCAACTGAAAAGTGAAACAAGTAAGAATTTCATAAATACTATTTTATCTAAACATTTAAATTACTGTGATTATTATTTATATGTTAATACCAATACAACAACGGGTTTGATCAAAAGCCAGTCGTCTAAAATTGTTGTTTGTTTAATTTTTTGACACAATTTATGTATCTAATTACTTAATAGATGAAAGCTTCGACATAGTCGACTCCGTCATTAAATCACTAAAACTACAAAAATGCCGACCGGATGTACCAGAACCTTTGAGTGATGGATTCTGGGAAAACAAAACATGGCACTCATTTTCATGCAATACAAAACAATGGACACGCGATGAGATCAAAGATTGTGTTAAAGGGAAGAAGCTATTTTTTATGGGAGATTCAACGTCGCGGCAGTGGTATCACAAGTTACTTGTTTTATTAGGATTTCCCCTTCCAGAAGATATGGCACAGACAGCAATGCATCTACAGAGCGATATTATAAATATGACTTTTATATTCCATTCGTACATTGTCAGTAAAAGACTGGAATTGGAAAATTTTGCAAACTTCGAGGTTGATCAATTAGATTATTTGCCGAAAGACACATGTGATTATATCATTACAATAAGTCCCTTCGCCCATTATGAACATTGGACAAAGGAGGCATATATAACTCGTCTTGAAAACATTCGTACAGGAATATTCAAATTCAGAAAAAGATGCCCAGAAGCAGTTTTTGTTATCAAGGGCTCACATGCGAGACGAGTAAAAACTGAGGAGAAGAAAGAAATAAATGGGTACTTTACAAGTGATTTGCTCTTATATCAGTTTCGAAGACTCTTACGTGAGACATTCTCAGGAATGAACGTTCATTTCTTAGACATTTGGGACATGAATCTATCGTACTACACTCCCAATACAGTACATATGCCACCTGATGTCATATTACAAGAACTCTTTATGTATTTTTCTCATGTTTGTCTGCAATAATGCTTTTGCAATTGAACGATCATAACTGAAATGAACATGTTCTTTGTTTTTATAAATATTTACGGATGTTTTGAATCTTTCTAAACTGAAAACAGATTGAAAGGCAGTTTGTAGAAATGTGACGAGTAAAGTGATTATCAAAAACAACACGTCGGAGCTCTATGAAAAGTGAATTGTAGAAACCACAAATGTATTGATTGACTTGAACTGAAGATTGCACATCATTCCAACAAAATTTATTTACAGAAATGCCGTAGCCATGATTTTCAGACAGTGCGAGACAATATCAGGGTGGACCCACTTTACGTGGAAATTCAAATAATGTGGACCGATTTTCTTAAAAGTTAACCCTTTTTACGCAAAAAATATGAAAAAGTTAACCCATTTTCTTAAAAAAAAAAAAAAAAAATATTGTGTGGGACTGTCCCAATAGCTGGCTACGGCATTTGATGTTCTTCTAATGTCAGATAGACCGCTGCTTTTTTTCTAAAGAAAATGAAAGTTTACGTCAGCAGCACAGCGTGTGGAAATATAAGTTATTTCGATATTTTCCCTACCTGAGGTGTTATTATTTCTAATAATGTAATGTAAAAAGTTTATCAAAAATGAATTGTGCAATGAAACACTTGAGTCATAAAACTATCATACCAGTTATGTTAATTTATTTACATTTTTAATGTTGATTGTGCATCCTAAATAAAAATGATAAAACTAATACTGTACAAAAATAGTTATTACATTGTTTGTGTCTGTATGATTGCGTGTCAAATCCTGATTAGGGGAAACTTTTTATTTATTTTTTCTTGCCCACCCATGAAGTGCGCCCCCTTGAGTTTCCGCTGCCGAACGTAAACACAGTAAATGCCGAAAGCTTGCTAAGCAGGGAGACTGTCTTTTCTGTTTTATATAAAACAAATATTATGTTTTAGCTAAGTTATGTCCGGTAGCGTTATAGTTAAACATGAAACCCCGATACCTGAAAACAATGGTAGAAAATTGGCGAAAACCGAAGACATGAAAGCTAGGCCTAGTAGTAGCAGCAGAAAAAACGTCAGTAGGCCACACTGCAATCCATTACCTGGAACGCGTGGATGTGGTGATATGTCAAGTGCAATTCCTACTAGGCCTAGGCCTAACGTACATAGCGATGGTAATGGTACCTTGGCGCATTTTTACTTTGACAAAGAACGATTCATATTCTGGACCAGTTTCTTCTTTATGATAATTTTAGCCTTTGGGACAAGATTGTACAAATTGGATGAACCCAAACATGTATGGTACTGTAAAACTAAGTTTTTTTTTTTAAATATTTCATTGTTTTGTTGTTTATGTTTTATAGGCTAGGCCTATATCATTTTTTTTCCCTTCAAAATCATGTTAGAGGTTATGGTTTACTTTACTTTATGGAATACAGTATGTGATCGAAGATTGTCATTTATTGTTGTGTAGCCCGTAGGTGTGGCATTTTAACTTTTTTTTATTTATACATTTTTGGGAGTTGCTCATTAAGGACTAACAACAACTCGTCAGTAAAGAGCACACAGCGACCGATTTTTGAATGGTGGCGGCATTTTATTAGCTCCCTGAAGGAGCGAAGCTCTCGGGTGGCTATTGTTTTTTTTTCCCATGTTCTTCATCATGCTGTTGTTGTTGAGTAAACTGTTTGTTACCACAACAACTAAATTTTGGTAAGTCCGATTTGTTTCAAACTTGGCAGAATGCAAGATCCTATTGTTTTTGGTAGATGTGTAATACGCTAATTGTGTGAAGGATGGAGGGTCCACCTCAGTCCCACTATGGTGGGATTATGACACCTATAGATGGGGGAGTGGTATATATTCACCCGTCTGCCCAGTCGCATCAGTAAAATAACTATCCACCCACCAGTGGGTTGGATAAGATAAAAACGTTTATCCACCAGGCAGAAAGGTAGAGGGCACCTTATCTGGCCCTTCTGTCGTGTGTAATAGCCTGTTTTCCACTAGGCGTCAAATTTATTTGTGCTAATCGGAAATGTCGGAATGCGCAAGCGCATTTACATTTCTGTTGGAGATTTTCACTGAACAGTAAAATCAGTAGTTCAAACCAATAAGAGCTCAGGGAAGCAAACTGACGCTTTCGATTCGTGCGAATAAATTCACGTGCGAATAAATTCACATGCAAAACAGGCACAAGCCTTGGCCTCATGATGGTGAACGCACCAAAAACATCGAGTAGTGAAGCTATTATTGCTCTAGGTCAAAGTTCAATCCTTTTGACGAATTCAAGGTGAAAGTGAAAGAACATCGCTCAGTAAAACAAGGTTTGGGTGCTCCTAATTTAAGATCATGTGACACAGGAATTTGCAGAGTTATTGAACTCACTGGCATGACAATTTTAAGAATCAAGAAGTGGTTGCTCCTCATCCATCAAGAGGATTCCCTTTTGCTACTACAAATACAAGATAGTGACAACGTGGACGTCTTCGTACACATTGCATTCTCGGTTTCAAAATGGTGTGAGCTGCAAAACAGAAGAAAAAATACATAGTACAGTATATCAAATCGACACAATGACTGGGTTCCAGTCCAAACACTTTGTCTTAATCAGTGAAAATGCTTAAAAATAAATCGATTTTGGCACCAATGGTGTTCCATATTACTTATTTGCATTGTTGTGGTAAATAACTACTGACTTATTCAAAGGTACTGTATTATTATTGTTAAATTTTTGCTTGGTAGTTCACTGCGAGTGGTAAAGGTTTGTATTTTTCGCGATGGCCTAACAAATACTGTACATACCACCCCATATCTGTTCACCCGACGGACGGCCAAAAATCCTTTTTTGGCTGGAAATGGCACTCACAGACTTAAAATTTAAGTATAATTTTTTTTTTCTCCATTAAAGAGAAAATTACAAGTTTATGGGGAGGGGCATGGCACCCACTTTAATCCACCAATGGATATAATATTATATCTGTCCTATAGTCGATGCCAGAGACGCATTATGCTGTTAGTGTTATGTATCAACAAAGCCCTTTTGGGTCAAGGACCCTATGGTTAGGCGGGGGGTCAGCCCGGGGGCCCTGCTGACTGCCGCCTGAAAGCTTATAGGCGTTACACCACTGGCAACCATAGCCTATATATATTAATCCATTTAGATTAAAATATTTTACAGTTTGAATCCATGAATATGATTTTAATGAAGATTGATTTTTTTTTTCACAGTTGGGATGAAACACATTTTGGCAAGATGGGAAGTTATTATATTAATAGAACATTTTTCTTTGATGTGCATCCACCTCTGGGAAAGGTATGAGTTTCTATATCTTAACATGTTACATATACACTGTATATAATATATGTGTACGGTATGTATGATAAATAATTTAACATTATATTCTTCGCAAAAGTAAATTGGCTATATTCATACACGGCAGCTAATGGGTAGCTGGATTCAGTAAAGATCCAGCTCACCCTTGCATTTATACTGTACATACAAAAAAATCCCCAATCCGGATATCAAGAAAGATGATGGTGGGATCACTGGCCAATAGGAAACTGGAAATTGGAAATTCGTATGTGTGATTGGTTAATGATTTCTTTCTTTAATCTTAGACCAGTACAACAAAATTTTATGATTAAATATACATTTTTTGACAAGAGCCTGGTTTTGCTAGAGTCAGTCACATGATTAAAATTATTCTTTTTAATTGGTGCCTACTACTTCAGTATAAAGGCCAGGAAACAAACAGAAAGCGTTTAATTCGCAGATGAACATGTTGCTATCAACATAACTCTTCAGTAATCTATTCTTATTCCAAAATTCCACCAATCAGCAACCTTGATTGTTATTTCCTCCTCAGATGCTAATTGGCCTGTCAGGTTTTCTATCAGGATACGATGGAAGATTTTCATTTGAAAAACCAGGAATCAAATACGAAGAAACTGAATATCTTGGAATGCGACTGGTAAGGCTTGTAGGAGCATGTGGCACTGCGTGAAAGGTGTTGACTTCTGATCGTGAGTTCGAGACCAACACTCATTGCACTGTTTGTGTCCTTGGGCAAGGCACTTTACTTGCGTTGCCTCTCCACCCTGAATTATAACTGAGTACTTGGTAGGATGGTATGGCACTGAACATATGGGTTGTGTGCATAAAGCAGCATGACTAGGGATACTCCCCAGGGAGCATTGGGGCTCAGGTCTTATTGGGTAACTGTAACTGAAGTCAATTATTTATAAATAGGGTCTGTGGTAATATGTTCAAATATCACCTTATATTTTGTGTTTTTTTAAAGTATGGTACTTTTCTTCATTCCCAATTCAGGCTGTACTGCAATATAATTAGTATATTTTTTTATTTTGCTTTATGAATACAGTATACCAAGGTATATTATTTGTTTATTTATTTGGTATTTATATAGCACCTGGAAAGCGCCTTGTTTTCCATGGTCATTGACTCCACATTCTCAAGTGTTGCTGCCATATTGGCGCAGTACTATAGCAGGTAACCCCACCAGGTACGGATTTAGATTCCTAAGTGGAGCGAAGCAATGCATAAAAGTGTTTTGCCCAAGGACACTAGTGAAATAAATGTTGAAGAAATAAATGTTGAAGAAACTTAAAGCGCATAGTGATTTATTGAAGCCAAACTGCTTCCACAAGTTTATAAGTATTACATTATTAGTACATGGAAGATTATCATAAACAGTTAAGTTTAAAAAATTAAGTTTAAAGCTGAATTTTTATATCAATATGAGAATAATTTTAAATTGTTTTCCATAGTTCAATTTGTTTTCCCTTCAGTTTTGCAGTTTGCTAGGCTCCAGCATTATTCCTTTATGTTTTGGTATTGTGTGGGAGATGACTCATTCTTCAACAGCATCTACATTAGCTGCATTTATCATCATCTTTGGTAAGTGGATCCAATAGCGGTCAGTGTTGGATCTAGGAATTCAAAATACAGGGGCCCAGTTAGCGTCTTTCACAGATGGAGGGTTTAGACCACCCTATCCCCACCATGGCTGGTGCTGAGGTAAGAAAATTAATGATTATGGCACTCTCAGACTTAAATTTGAATATCTTTTTATTTTTTCTTATAATTTTGAAAAATTTAGGGGGGCCCAGAGACCAACACATTCATTGACACAACATCCTTCTAGGTACCTAGTCTGTTGTTTTCAGGGTGGGTAAATTTTCAGATTTTACAATTTGCCTGTAATGTCAGGTCCAGGCTGCTGCTGTTTTGCAACCCTGCCTTTGGCACCAGCCTCACTGGATCACTTTGTCCACACTAAGTTTTATGTGACAAATACATCAGACTGTAAAGTGTTTAAATTGCGTGGATGATACCTCAAAAACCAGGTGTACAGAATCGTAATTAGTACATTATACATTGTTTATATTTAAGGATTAGGTCAATGCCTAATTTTAGGCGCCTTATTTTTAGAAAATGCACCGACAGATTTCTATAACAAATCTTGCATGAAAGATACATTTCCCGCGCAGACCCTACTATACAGTCGGGTAAAGACACATATGATTTGTTTTATTTGATATGTGTGAAACAAGTCAACAACATTAAAACATTCTTTAGTCAGATAGACCATATTTTGATAATGTGCCCATAAAGAAAAGTGATGTCATTTACAGTAAGCCCAACCACCTTAAAATCTCAAAAGTTTATAGTCATTTTTATTTAGGAGAAGCCAAAATACTTGACATATTTGAAATAAGCTTGAAAGCCCTGTCTAAATTATAAAATTTTCTTTGACTAAAAACCTGTTATATGCCCATATATAGTCATGATGTGTCTATATATGGTCGTGATGTGATGTCATCATGACCATATTTAGGCATGCGACAATTTTTTGTCAAATATAATTTGATAATCTGACTTTGCTTTATGATTCAATTTTTTATTTATTTTATTATATCTATACCACATCAACAGCGATATATTGCCACTTACAGGATGGATAAAATATAACAATATAAAAATATATGCAGAATTAAAAATATCAATATTTCATGGATGTTACCTAAAATAAGATTATTATAAATACCAAGGCTACAGTATTGTAAAAATTATCAATGTCGATACCATAACCAAAGATTTTGGTATTATTGTTACCATAGTTGACAATGAACTTTAGAATTAGGCCTATGATAACATAACATCCGGACCAATAAACCTTAATTTTTTTTTAATGTAATATGATTTCCCCCCACCCCCTTTTCTCAATTTTTCATTAAAATGCGCACATTTGGCAAAGAGTGATAGATAGTAAACATTGTAGGTGACTGTAGGAAGGCATCAAAATATTAGATAGATAGGGTTGGCTGGTATGGTAAACTCTCTGCACAGTTTTAATTACAATGGATCTGCTTATCTGTCTTTGACCAATGCAATATACTTTTATATATTCATTTAGACACCGGGTGCCTCACTCTATCACAGTACATTCTACTGGATCCGATTTTACTGTTCTTCATCACTATGGCAACATATAGCGCTCTGAAGTTCAAAAGTTTGTCAAACTCACCTTTCTCTTTTCAATGGTGGTTCTGGATGGCTACCACTGGATTATTTTTATCATTCTCGTTCAGGTAAAAATTTGATTTTTAGTGCTTATAATTATAAAATCTTCAAATAATTTTGCTGAGGAGATTTTATGGTTTCACTGCTGTTTGTCTGTCTGTAGCTATGTCTGTCTGTTATTAGGTCTGTCTGTCAATGTGTGTTTGTCTGTTGTTTATTCTATCTTTAACAGGATTTAGGAACAACTAACTAATGGATCATCATACAATTTAGTGGAATGATAGTCTAAGGAAGAGGTGATAAAATTACTCGGTATAGCTGTTTTAGTGTTACGATTGTAATGCAATTTAAAAACTGATAGCCTTTATTTCTATTTATTTATAAAATTTAATTATCTAAAAAAAAAACTAAGATTTTTTTTTTCGATTATAATCTTTGTCTAATATAATAATAATAATAATACTAACTAGACTTACCATGTCTGTTTGTACAACAGAACATAGGGCTTTCCCTCATTGCTATACTGAGTTAAAATTGCAAAAAAAAAAGTCGTTAAAAAGCATAAAGTAAAAAAAAAACACAGAAATCCAAAATACTTATAGTACTAAACAGTTATGAAGTAAAAAACAACTAATTAATGAATCATCTTAGAATTTTAGTGGACTGATAGTTATGGATCTAAGGAAGGGGTGATAAAATTACTTAGTATTAGGCACAGGGGTGAGGTACGCACTCTATATAATCCTGTTCTGATGTTACGATTGTCAGAGTTTGTACACATCCTTAAATTCCTTGAATGTCCTGGGAAAAAAAATTTCCAGGACTGGAAAGTCCTGGAAATTTATGAATGTCATGGAAATTTGACCATTTATCCAGTACTGCAACTTGCCTAGTAAACAGTAAATTAAATGAGAAACGTTCCCACAAGTAGGTTCCCACGATACTCTTGGGAGAAGCAGGTCAACTCTTTGTACACCACCAATGCAGGATTGTTATCGAAAGCACAAAGAATGTCAAATGCTGCAAATGGCCGACTGGCTGGTTCAGACAAACTTCAGTTTTGGAGTTGTTTGCCTATATTTTAGTAAAGAGGTGTTTTCTAAATCTTGTATTAATTATGTATGTAATTCTAATTCCACCTCCAAATTAGGACCATCTCCAGTTAGGGACCACCTCAAATTAAGGATCATCTCCAATTAAGGATCACCTCTAATTAAAGACCACCTCTAATTAAAGACCAGCTCAATTAAAGACCCCTCCAATTTTTTCTCACGAGCAAAACAACTACACTCAGTAAACCTCATATATTGGGACTATGTGCTTGTGTAAATCATCATGTCTGTATGTCTTGTGAAAGGGATTGGCACCTACAAGTAGGATAGTGTATACTGTATATGCTATTGACAATCCTTAAATTTTCTGTAATTTTACAACCATTCTTTTCATATCTTTCCAGTGTCAAATGGGTTGGTCTCTTCATAATTTTATTAGTTGGTGCTATGACAGTAGCTGAGCTCTGGCAGTTGCTGGGCAACGTGGCTTTATCAAAGGTAAATAAATGGTGATACGATTGTGTGGCACTATATGGATTTATACAGTGTATGATGGAAATTCTTTCAGACATTTATTTGGTCACTCGTTCATTTTCAGTCGCTGTCCTCCTTGTGTTTCAGCTAGAGGGCTGAAATGCCATTCAAGTGAGCGCACTATATCTTTGGTTTAAGCTGGTGGTACTGTGTGAAATATTGCCCATGGAGCTATACTATTTGGAAAAGAGTAGGAGATGGTGTACTGCTTGATTCACCACAGCCTGGTTCACATCGGACCAACAACATGATTTTGGACATCATGATGTTCGATGTGAACCTGCCCAAGCTAAGATCATAATCTTAGAAATCACATTAACATGAATTCCAAGATCACAATTAGTTATCATGATCTTGCGCTAACACCATGATCTTCGTATTCATGAGCTCAAATTCAACCAATTAGTGTTTCTGACTTGCTAAATCAACCTCATTAGCATACCAAAATCACGATACGATTTTCGTCATGATGTTATTGTTAGACAGACAGAATGAAGTTGAAGGTGAACTGTCTAATCATAATGATCTTTTTTGAGAAGTACTCTCGAATTAACCCTATCTATACAACACATATTGTAATACAGTGAATAATTAATAATTAAAAGTAAGAGATGTAGGCCTGCGTTCAAATTAGAAAATGCATCTTGTATAAAATTCAGTAATTGAATTAATAATGAATTGCACCCCGCCTACGCCCATGGTATGAGAGCCGCTGCATTAGAAGATATCCTCTGAAGTTTCTGTGTATATTTTCTCATTATAGATGGAGATAGCCAAGCATTTTTTTGCCAGAGTTTCCTGTCTGATAGTTCTTCCAGTGTTTTGCTACCTTGTCATTTTTTTCATTCATTTTAAAGTACTAAATCACAGGTAAGTAAAAGGTGGCGTATCATGAAACATACTTGTTTCTATGAATACAGTTCGCCCTCCAAATTGAGATCACCTTTATAACCTAAAAACTTGTGGTGGTCTCGGGCTTCGGTCTCTTAATTAGAGGGTTAGCTTTGTGTTAAGTTTATTTGGGTTTTGGAAAAGTGGTCTAGAATTAGAGGGGCTTCAGAATTGGAGGTTGCACTGTATCATAGATAACATTGTGTACAATAATGTATTTGGAAATTGGATTTTGAAGACTAATGCTGCTAATAATGTAGTTGATTGTTTTGCTTTATTTTTATCGTTAGATTATAGTTATGGTTATTTTATTATTATTATTATTATTATTATTATTATTATTATTATTGTTATTTTTGCAGTTTTTGTTATTGATATATGTATTTCTATTGTAAAAATTATAATAATTTTTTTAACAATTTATTATTGTTATTTTTGTAACTATAATATTCTTTTCATTTATATTATTTATTATTGATATTGTTTACATATTTCTGGTGCACTGTGCTAGTTTATTTTCAGTAGATTATCTTCATGTTTTCATTGTTTTGTTTCTAAATAGTGGAACTGGGGATGGATTTTATAGCTCTTCATTCCAGTCAAGTCTTATTGGAAATAACTTATATCAAGCTCATATGCCTGAAGGTCAGTATACCTTTAATCATGATATCCACATAATGTAAATTGGATTTACACACAAGTTGCACATAAGTTACTTATAATTAGCACATATGTAATACATAAGTGACATATGTAGCAGATAAGTGAGACTTAAGTGGCAAATAAAGTGGCACAAAGTTGCACATGAATGCCACATAAGTTGCACATAATTCACACCATATGTTGCACATAAGTTGCACATAGTGACATATAAGTGGCACATAAATTGCACATAAGTTCCACATAAGTTGCACATAGTGGCATATAAGTGGCACATAAATCGCACATAAGTTGCACAAAAGTTGAAAATACAGTACGTGGCACATAAGTTACACATACGTTACACATAAGCCAAAGCTACTATAACAAGCGACTTCCAGTACTTTGTTTGGGAATATTTCAATTTTATTTTATTAATTTTATTCAACTTTTACTGGCAAATATATAAAAAACAATAACAAAATATACAAACCAGTATATGGCAAAAACAGAACAGGTGAGCAAGCACCTCTACAAAGCTGCCTTACCACCAGAGATACATCTAATTAAAAATAAACAAATTATATTAAAAATAAAGATTGATCTTATATTTTTACACACTAACATATTTAGCATGCCTTACCACCAGAGATACATCTAATTAAAAATAAACAAATTATATTAAAAATAAAAATTGATCTTATATTTTTACACACTAACATATTTAACTTGATTTTTTTTCAGAGAAGACAGTGACAAAACGACAGTGACATTAAAAATGATGATAAAGAAAATGTTTTCATTTGTTTATATAGACCTTGCGTATGGTTCAATTATCACCTTGAAAAATCAACGTGCAGCTGGTGGCTTACTTCATTCTCACTGGCATCTGTACCCTGAAGGCGTAGGAGCTAGGCAACAGCAGGTAAGTATTTGGATATAAAATCGTATGTTTCACTATAAATTTATTTTTGTATTGAAGTTGATTAACCTTGGTTATTGGCTTTACACTTTCTGCCAAAAATATTGTAAACTACCTCTGAAATTCAATTAAAATGTTGTATAGTTAATTTAAAAGATCAAAGAAATTAAAGTCCCACAAATCTCCCACTAGAGTTTTCTTCAGTATACAAGTTTCGAAAAGATGCCGAGTTGCTAACTTGGCAAACTTGGCAAAAACTTGTAGGACGAAAACCTACTACTCGTAGCAGCTTTAAACTTGTGGCTTTTCCCCGCTAAACGTTTGTGTTCTAGATGGCCAAGTCATTTTGTGTGATCATTTTTTTCTTTTTCTTTCTTTATTTTTTATTTTTTTTTAATTTCCAAAAGTGGGGAGGGGGGTGAGCCGGCCCCCAATATGCCTATGTTTGAGGTATTTTTCACATTTTTAGATATACAAATTAAGCAATTCAAATATGGAATTGAATTTTTCAAATTTTTTTAGCTAATGATACAATTCTCCTTAAACAATCAAAGGTTATCACATGAGTAGTAAGTCAAAAGAATTATCAACAAATTGATATGTTACAACTATGTATTTTTCAAAACAATGAATGTATAACGTGTCATGCAAAGTAGATTGATTGATTGATTGATTGATTGACTTTATTTGATATTCCACACATAGTACAATTATAATAAAATACAATTACAATTATTAGAAAAAGCATGAATATCAGAATAACCCATTAAGACGGCATTAATTTATATTCCACACATAGTACAATTATAATAAAATAAAATACAATTACAATTATTATAAAAAACATGAATATTAGGATAACCCATTAATTCGGCATTACAGCAGGTTGACTTATTTCCAATGGGGTCCAGACCATTAAAATCAGAAAAGTATGTGGTTTAAATTTAAAAAGGTATAATTACAAGTCAGAAAATATATAAATACAAACAGAAAGCCAACAACAAATATAAGATACATGATAATAAAACACTGCTTTGCTAAGTTTTTAGTTGTTCATTATTTATATGTAGTTGTTCTTATATGTATCTTACACTCTTTAAACAGGTCACTGCCTATACACATAAAGATGACAATAACAAGTGGTTAGTGAAACGTTTTGATCATGATCCGTCCGAAAATGATGAAGTATCATTTGTCCATCATGGTGATGTGGTTCGTCTGGAACATGTTCCGTGAGTTAACTAAAGATTTAGTGTGATATTCTAATCATGTATTTATTTAGGTTTAGTAGTTGAAAAAAAAAGGCTAACTGATAAAGATGATTATTTAACATTTTAACATGATTATTTCAAAGAAAAAATTGTTCACTTGGCATATACAGTGACACTTGGAGTCCAGTTAGTTGTGTAACAATTTATTTATTTATTTAACTATAATCCAAGGATATTAACCTTGTTCATTGCCAACCATGACTCACCCAATACGTTATGATAATGATGATTCTTTATTGGTCCTCATTGTAGTAGGAATTCAGAGATTCGGACTGGGTCCCTGGGGACCCTCAGCAGCCGCAGTGTACTGCCACCCAAATTAACTAAAACATAGCAGACACATTCGGATACAAACATTGTCCTTAATCCGCCCAACTTTCAATATGAGGGTTAATATGAGCATCCAAGCGTTCAGACTCCAATTCAAACCCAATGCTGGCCGAGTTTGAACCGGGGTCGTCAGCAAAAGAAGCAGGATCAATACCTCTCAGCCCACAGGGCTAAAATCTATAGATAAGTTATCAAATTAATTAATTAAAAACATACAAATTGGTCTCATACATATGCCAAAGCACATATATATACCAAACACTCTGATCTAACAAAAAACAATGTTACAGTACAATAAAATACAAGTTAGAAATATGTTTATTTGCCTAATACAATATTAACTTTCTACACCATTCTGCCACTCATCTGTTCCCAAAGAGCAGCTTAGTTCAGTCGGCTAATCTGGTGGTAGCCACTGTGTGTGCGCTGAATCGTGGAGATCTCTAGGTCCCCGGTTCAATTCCCATCGCTGCCTCTCCTTATGTTTCAGCTGGAGGGCTGAAATACAAGTTACAATAGCGCACCATCTTTCGGATTAGATGTTTAATCCGTTGGTCCTCTGTGCATTTATTTGGCCCATGTGCATGTTAAAGAACACAGTACACTCTGAGACAATTGTCTCCCGTCGATTGTACTGCCCAATCATCACCAGAAGAACCCAAGTGGAAATAAGTCTTCTTCTAGACTTTCGTGTGCTATCCTTGGTGTTTGCAACGAATAAATCCAATCCAATCCAAAGACTATGAAAAGAACAAAAACCTTAAGAAAATACTTAAAAATTTCCTTGATTCATTTACAACATTTCTGCACTATCTTAAATCTTAGGTCTTACATTATAGTCCCACTCCTTAGCGGTATTGTAATGCATATCAGACGGTCCTCTCCATTTACTTGTCCCCACACCTCTCTTTATTTTAAGATGAATTGCTTGCTTTTGCAGTATTAATATTTCTAAATATGATGGAGTTGACTGACATTGTGTTGTTTTATGTTCTAGATTTTGGCAATAAAGACTAAGAACAATATGAAAGAAAGTAATTGATGTGGTTTTCCAGATTCTATCACTATAATAACTTTAATAGATACATTAGTATTGTTTATTGATCGTCAATTCTTTTTCTTTATTTTTAGAACTCGTAGAAATCTTCACAGTCACGTAGAACCTGCTCCGGTTACAAAACGACATCAACAAGTTACATGCTATGGTACGGTAAGTATAAATAGCATCGTACATTTGATATGACCAATTGCGAACATTTAACACTGAAACCCTTTCAGTGCTCACTGCTAGCAAAGTAAATTGTCATGGAGATCACTGGCCACCACTTGTACCCAGGTCTTCCTAGGCCTTTCTCTACCTTTGGACCCCTCAACCTCCATCACCCAACACTTCTTGACCCAGTTATTGTTATTCATTCTTTCAATGTGTTGTGTAGCATCACTAGAAATATCTTCCACCTTTACTGGCCAGGTTTCACTGCCATAGAGCATCACAGATCGAACACAGGCTTGGTAGAGGGTACCTCTCCCCTTGAGGGAGAACGAACGAGGTGTTAACAGGGGCAAGAATTCACAGAATAGAAATGACTGGAGGAAAGCTATCATAGTGAACATGCCAGCATGGATTAATTACAAACTTTAAATTGATAATTTTTTTTTAAATAATAGTTTGGAGGGCATTGGAAGGAGTAGAATTGCTCAGTGGTTTAGATGCTTGCCTTCTGATCCCAGGGTCCTGATTTCAATTCCTGTCACAGCAGGACTTTTTCTCACGACCAAAAACAACTCCACTCCCTAAGCCTCAATAAGAGACTTGGTTTATAAAGCATCATTCTCATCCTGTAAGTGGCGAGTGTACTTGCTGTTGGATGTGAGAGAAATAAAAAAGAAAAAAAACCAAAAAAAAACAGTACCCTAACCCTAAATGACCTCACAATAACTGCTTTATAAGTCAACAGCTGTCTATTGGGCTAGTCTTTTTCAGCTGAAATTTTACACTTTTTGTGCCTCAGATATTAATATTTGGACCAAGTATAAAAATAATTAATTGTATTGAAATTTAGCATCAAAATGTTTGTTGGGCCTAGTCTACATACTCTAGGCCTTCTATTGTGATGACTTAGGCCCCAATACAGAATTCTCTGTGAGGCCTATAGGCTACAGCTATGTAGAATAGCTAAACCTGTAGGCCTCTTCTTTGTATTTTCTGGTCCTTGTATATAACCTCCCCACCTTCCCACCCACAAAAGAAGTTTTTGTTCAATGGAGCAAGCTTATATCCAGGGTTCTGTAGTAAATCTTAAGGATTCTTCTGTATGTGCTTAATAATGCAATATTTGTAAAGTGTGTATTAAAGTTAAAAAATAACTTGTCACCGGCGCTTAGACAAAAATTGAAAAACAGCTGCAGAAGAACAAAAAAAAAAAGAACAGAAAACAGATTAGTTAAAACTCACTGCTTAAGCAGTTAGTTTTGTTCTTTAACTTCTGTCGTTTTTTGTCACTGTATAGAACGGCACAGGCGATGTGAACGATGTATGGCGAGTTGATATTGTTAACGGTCAGGTGGGTGACCGTATTAAAACTGTGGTGACGAAGCTGCGGTTGATCCACTACACCACCGGATGCGCCTTGCACTCGCACTCCAAGCAGTTACCAAAATGGTAGGTAACACTGGTACTCCGTAAGCATCTATAAATAATGTAGTACAGTGTTAAGGCTTTGAATTAGAAGAGCAGAGGTTCAAGTCAAAGGCTTGTCAACTATTTGTATTTTTTTTTTTTTTTGGCAAAGTATTCTTTTTATGTTCGGTCATTTTTGTGTACCTGTCAATGCACTGAATACTCACTACACCATTTATATATGAACACACTCCATTGAGCTGAATCAATTACATAGAGTGTTGACTGGGTGATAATATGAATTTTTTACTGGAGGGTAATGGATTGGGGGTTTTAAATTGAGATGATATCTTGACACTCGCATGTAATTGCCCTGCAATTTTTGCTTAAAATAGATTTGACCCAAGCAGTCTCCTACAATTTAGGGCGATGAAAACTTAAAGACTCAACGTGCGCAGATGACTGTGTGAAGTCATTATGTTCTTGAAATTTACACTTGTTGGCAATAGTTGTTCCCAGTGCAGTAATTTTTTCCATAGGGCCACAGAACTTTATCATTAATATATCAGGGGATAGGCTAATGCTTTAATCCAAGAATACAGTAGTTTAAAGTGTATTGGAATAAATTTATCTTAACTGCTCATATTTTGTAATTACATCTTGCAGCATTGCATCTTTCTAAAGCTGAATTATTTTTTTAATATTATATTTAGGCAAGTTTTATATGAACTATAGCATAATGCCAGGGCACTCTTGATGGCATAGACTTTATGCTGTTCATAAACTACTGTACTCTTTTGGACATGTCAGTGTCAGTCAATCAGTCATTCAGTTTGTTTTTTAATTTAAGCTAATCAATCAGCTAATCAATCAATCGGTCAGTTTGCTAGTTTGTTTTTTTATCAAATCTAGTCAGACAGCAATCGTCAGCCAATCAATTATTTCAGTCAGTCAATTAAACACTATATTACTTGTAATTCTATCGAATATTATTGTTTTAGAGCAACAGTGGTCTGAAACCGAAAGAAGGAGAAATTACTTCAAGACCTTAGCAGCTGTCTCTTATACACATCTAGATGTGTATAAGAGACAGATCCACTACACCACCGGATGCGCCTTGCACTCGCACTCCAAGCAGTTACCAAAATGGTAGGTAACACTGGTACTCCGTAAGCATCTATAAATAATGTGGTGCAGTGGTAAGGCTTTGAATTAGAAGAGCAGAGGTTCAAGTCAAAGGCTTGTCAACTATTTGTATTTTTTTTTTTTTTTTTGCAAAGCATTCTTTTCATGTTCGGTCATTTTTGTGTACCTGTCAATGCACTGAATTCTCACTATACCATTTATATATGAACACACTCCATTGAACTGAATCAATTACATAGAGTGTTGACTGGGTGATAATATGAATTTTTTACTGGAGGGTAATGGATTGGGGGTTTTAAATTGAGATGATATCTTGACACTCGCACGTAATTGCCCTGCAATTTTTGCTTAACATAGATTTGACCCAAGCAGTCTCCTACACTTTAGGGCGATGAAAACTTAAAGACACAACGTGCGCAGATGACTGTGTGAAGTCATTATGTTCTTGAAATTTACACTTGTTCGCAATAGTTGTTCCCAGTTCAGTAATTTTTTCCATAGGGCCACAGAACTTTATCATTAATATATCAGGGGATAGGCTAATGCTTTAATCCAAGAACACAGTAGTTTAAAGTGTATTGGAATAAATTTATCTTAACTGCTCATATTTTTTACAGTTAAACTTTATTATAATCCTGTGTTAAACTTGGCCATTGTCTTGCTTGTGTGTGAATGGCTATAGAAATAGGAATTAAAACTTGTTCAAATTGTTGTAAATCTTGTTTTTTTTTTTTTATTTTATTTATAGGGGCTGGGAGCAGATGGAAGTGACATGTAACCCACATAAGAGAGATATAAAAAATATATGGAATGTAGAGGATCACTTCAACCCCAAGTGTAAGCTAAGTATTAATTTCTAAAAAAAATTCTGGCGCATCGGTAAGGTGTTTTTGGGCTTCAAAATTGAATAATCAAGTGGTCGAGTATGAGGATCGTCATTTTTATATGATGTAAATTAATGTATGCTGTTAGTTTTTAGTCAATGGATAGCAGTAAATACAGGTTCTTTAATTACAGGGTCTTTAATTAGAGGTTGACCTGCATTACATTAAATTCAGGTCTCCCTCCAATTAAAGACCACTTTTGGGACTGAATTATCCATGGTCTTTAGCAACTTTGGTCTCTAATTAGAGTAATAATAATAATAAAAGATATTGATATGGGACCACAGGAAAGTGGTCTTCAAGTTGCGTTGGTCTTTAATTGGAGAAAACTTTAATTAGTGGAAGACCTGTATTACAAACTGGAATGGAGACACATATTTTCCATATTATTTATAGCACTTTTATTATATCCTAAATGGAAGACCACTCCATACAGTGTTTGTATATGGCATATATTGTAAAGTTTGTACTTGTTTTCTCCACAGTACCAAACGTTAGTTTCGAGCTGTTTGCACCTTCATTCCTGGAAAGTGTACTGGAGTCACATGTCGTCATGGCACAGGTGAGAAAATAATCAAAACCTGGAGATTTGTCCCCTTTTATGAAACATATACTCGTAATTACATCTTGCAGCATTGCATCTTTCTAAAGCTGAATTATTTTTTTAATATTATATTTAGGCAAGTTTTATATGAACTATAGCATAATGCCAGGGCACTCTTGATGGCATAGACTTTATGCTGTTCATAAACTACTGTACTCTTTTGGACATGTCAGTGTCAGTCAATCAGTCATTCAGTTTGTTTTTTAATTTAAGCTAATCAATCAGCTAATCAATCAATCGGTCAGTTTGCTAGTTTGTTTTTTTATCAAATCTAGTCAGACAGCAATCGTCAGCCAATCAATTATTTCAGTCAGTCAATTAAACACTATATTACTTGTAATTCTATCGAATATTATTGTTTTAGAGCAACAGTGGTCTGAAACCGAAAGAAGGAGAAATTACTTCAAGACCTTGGCAGTGGCCTATTAATTACAGAGTAAGTTAAATCTTCTGCTGTTTTTTATTAATTTTTTTAAACCACTTCAGTTTTGACAATTTTAATAGTGTAGATAATTAATTAATTTAAGTTTTAGTGTCTGGATATTATTTTTATCTTTAAAAAAATTCAAATTTAACGTATGCTTGAAATTTTCATAGTTCTGTCATAACGTCGTCTTCTGGATCTGAGTCACTATGTTACTTCTGCGTTTCTCAATGGATTCCCTTATCTATCGAGTAAAACACTCACTATTATTTTTGAGTTAGCCGAGTCCGGTTGATTGTGGACCACCACATGGCCTGTTATTTGGAGATTTGTGTAACTCGCCTGTTTAAGAGAGTTGAGCGGTTTTCCCAGTTGACACCTCTTAGTTTACGTTTATGAAGGTACTTCCTGCAAAGGATTTTAGGATCCATAACTGTATGGCAACAGGGGCTGTATGGACCAGTACAGGAACCCCCTACTCGTCTCGAAAGATGTACTGGGTTATTTAAAATGCACATGAGCCAATTGTGTATGCTTGGCCTGTAGTCCTTATGCCAGAAAAATTGTTTCACCATCAGAAATATAGAAAAATAGAGCATATGCCGCTCAAACCAGCACCTATATTATGGCCGTAGGTTGCGGTGCCCCTAGCCTTAACCGCTCTGCCATTCTACTGGCTCTGTTGGTATAGTTGTCAACACCAGTGGCATATAGCTATGCACAGTCTATAAACTGTCTTAAAACTTAGTTGACTATAGTCATGATGTAGATACTGAGTCTATAATTATAGACCTTTTCTATACTGCATTCTAATCAGTTAGCTGGCTATATTTTTAAAGTCTTTTTGGAGGGGGTTATAATTTTCTATTAATTAATGAATGTGGTTCATTTTTTTTTGGTTTTTACATATGGATTTTTGTTCTAAAACATAAAAAACCCATGTCGAAATATATGACCTACATGTTTTAAACTTAATAATAACAAGTCATCGCTATAAAAAAGGCTATTGAAAGTTTCATTTGCATCAGTAATTTCACAAAAGAGATTTTTTTAATGCAAATTTGTGTTAACAAAATTAACGTTCAATACATAAGTATCAGCGATCCAAAAGCACAGTTTCTACAGGGTGATTGTTGGTTTTGATTACTTGACCTGATCTTAGTTCAGACTGTTTTATAGCAATGGTCTTACTGGGGTGACTATTAGTAAGATGGCCTATGTGATTAAGCTGGCTAAATGGACTAGTTAAGACTACCTGACTGTCTCAGTCTTAGCAATCAGCCAAGTGACAAAATTTCTTCCCATTTCACTTATGTACACATAAATGCATTTGCACAGTTTATTGTTGTGTTGGTTTATTTCATCCTAGATAGACTAATAATAACATTTTAACAATTAGTATTAACAAGCATCTGGCAGTTATTTGAATTTGTTAACAGCTATCTTGATTTATCTATATATATA